CATACATTAACACCGCCTCTGTAGCGGCGCAAATGAATCTCTGTTTAAGTTTATCTGGTAGAACAGATTTTCAGATTGCATTCATTGTTGTCTATTCAATGCGGCCTAGGTTTTATCTATGCGAAGTCTCATGTCCTTTACAATAGAATGTATTTCGCTTCCTAGTGAGGTAAAAGATTTTTATTCACCTGAGATAGTTTGTATTGAGCCTTGCTGGTTAAAGCATTCAGTAATGTCTAGCATTTTTGATACATTTTCATTTGTGGCACCACCAACTAATTTATTCGCAGTCAGGCCTTGAGTGTGAAAACCATGCTAAGAGTTCAGTTGAAGATATAAATAAATGCAAAAAATGTTTTTATTGCCTGAGTTCGCTTTTATAAAAGTTGTCGTTTGAAGTCAGATTTCGGAATTGTCTACTGACAGTTAACGTGCTAGGAGCTTAACATGCAGACTGTGACGGAACACTTGCAAAAATCGCCCTGGGTCATCCGTCACATGGAAATTTAAAAGACTTTACCCAGCAAGACAGGCCCTATGCAAAACAACTTAGTTTGCTACATCTGTAATAAGTATTGAAAATTACTTGCTGGTTCCAAGAGCAACTGTCGTTGCAACGAAAACAAAAAAACAAAAAAAAACAAAAAAACATTGATGCCAACTTGTTAGCGATGGTCATACTGTTTTAAAGACATAAGAGCTATCATCTCTCTCTCTCTCTCTCTCTCTCTCTCTCATATATATATATATATATATATATATATATATATATATATATATATATATATAGTGCAGGTAATAGATCCGTTGGTATATAATCTAGATGGATCCTAGTAATATCAGATATTAAAACTGTTCCACAGAAAGAGCTCAATGTATTTATTATAACAGAGCAAAAATATTTTTTTAAAAATATCTCCGGTAGCACTGTTATATGCCAGCTATCCTCAGCCCAAGACTGTCTGAAAATGGTGTTTTCTGAATTTGGGTTAGATAGGGTTGGTAAAAACGTATGTGGTAACTTAAGGGGAGGCCTCAGTTTAGATAAGGAGTTTGGGTTGATGACCAGTAGATGGGCCAAAGTTGGAGGTTTATTCATGGCAAAGGTCATTAGTTGTATGTAAATGAATTCAGGTTCCTGCTAGTGGATTATATTATTAGGTGGTGGGGGATTTAACAAACACACACACAGACATATATAGGTAGCAATCCTTCATTTATACATGTTTCATTAAAGACGACAGACAAGATACTGTGATTAATCATCTTATTTAATTTTTCATGTGTTCGAACAAGGGCTTTCATTTCTACTCACTCTGTGTCCAGAAAAGAAAATACTTGGATGAAATACACACACACACACACACACACACACATATATATATATATATATATATATATATATATATATTTCAGAGTCTGTCTATATTTCTGAGGTGAGGTATTATCTACAGTATTTACATTAGTCGGACTATTGTCCTCATCTTTGTCGCCATATTTGTCACAACGTTTCGCCCGTTGTACGCTCCGACCTTCTTCAGGTGGTTGGAATTTCGAACTGAACCCTTTATTTCGATCACTGGGGTAGACTGTTCTAGTTCCACGTGCCATGTTTGATGGATGTCAGTTATCAGTTATCTCCTGCTAATTTTCCCTCTGAAAGTTCTCCACTGCCTTAACCGGGTATTGAACTTATATTCTTTGGGCCTGCCACTGGATCTAACCAACGGCTTTATCCACTGTGCCATGTGTCCTTGAGAATGTTGTGACAAATATGGCGACAAAGATGAGGACAATAGTCCGACTAATGTAAATACTGTACTATATATATATATATATATATATATATATATATATATATATATATATATATATATATATATATATGCGAGGTCTAGTAAAAATATCGGAACTGTTTCTATGGTAAATGAACTAAAATTACGCAGAATAAAGCCACTTGGCATAGATTGACCTTAAACTCTCTCGCGCATTGTTATACTAGACTACGTTACAACGTTCTCGTTGACGTCCTTTTTCATAGCAGTGCTTGGAAGGAAGGTGTGCCGAGTGTGATTGTCTCACCATACTACAAACTCTCTAGCAGTGACCATGGCTTCTTTTGAAGTTTTGGCGCAAAAAACAACTTTCCCAAGGTCCGACAACCACGATATTTCTCAGTTTTCGGCTCTTGCGCCTTTTACCTCGTCAAAATCAAATACCACTTGAAAGAAACAAAATTTCAAGACATCAAGGAAATCCAAGAGAATGCGATGAGACAGCTGCTCGCTATTTCCAAAAAAGGAGTTCCGGGAATGATTCCAGAAATGGAAACGGTGTTTTTTTTTTTTTGTTTTCAGAAGGGGACTATTTCAGGGGTGATTAAATGCCGAATTGTTATGTGTTGTATTTTTCTTTCTTATGGCACTAGTCTCCTGATACTTTTGATCGGACCTCGTATATATATATATATATATATATATATATATATATATATATGATCGTAAAGGGCATGAAACCCAGGTTCACAAACTCACATCAATCCAACAAAATATGTTAGCTCTATCACTGATATTGAGCGCTTTCCAATAAGTACCGCTCATATATAAAGAATATATATAAAAATTACACATACACACACAAGTACACACAGACACACATATATATATATATGCATTTTAAATATATTTATACACACACACAAACATATATATATATATATATATATATATATATATATATATATATATATATATATATATATATATACCATGCAGATGATCATTTCGTCCATGGGAAATACGTTTTTCCCTGGAATTATCAATGCAAATCCATTTACTAAAAGGAATTAATTCTCACGTTTCTTCATAAGATATATGAAATGCAAAGAGAAGGAAAGAAGGAAAATAGAAAAAAAGAGAGTAAAAGAGAGGGAGTAAGAATTGGCCTATAATAGAGGAGAAAGTTAAATAAGGGGTAAAGAACTTAATGTGTTTGTGATGCCTTTCAAATTTCCTGTGAAGAAACGTGGGAAATCATTCATTTTAGTAAATGTATTTGCATTGATAAGTCCAGAGTAAAAATTCTTTCCAATGGACAAAATGATCATCTGTATGAGGTAAATTGTTTGAATCTCATTAATTGTAATTCACTTATATGCTCTATAATAAAAATTATATTGAGCTCTCTTTTGTGGATCAGTTGATAATATACCCAACGAATTTTTTTTACCTGTTATATTTCCGTTTTTTTTTTTTTTTTAATCTGTAGGTCTGATGAATTGGATCATGATTACGATTTGAATGTAATAAAATATAACCATGGAATATTCGTGTTTGAGCCTTTTATATTATATTATGTTCTTGCTGTGTCCTGGACATTGAACTCTACCTGGATTCTATCCTCTTGAAATGTATATATATATATATATATATATATATATATATATATATATATATATATATATATATATATATATAAATTTTCTCCGATTTAACCAGTAGAGACAATATTTTATGAATAAAAATGACAATAGGAAAACTGGTAATTGCTGACGCGTTTCGTCCAATTTTTTTTTGATAAAGTCCACATTGAACGAAAAGCGTCAGCAATTACCAGTTTTCCTATTGTCATTTTATTCATATATATATATATATATATATATATATATATATACATTGACCACTAATATATACACATATATATATATATATATATATATATATATATATATATATATATAACGGATATATATATATATATATATATATATATATATATATATATATATATATATATATATATATATATATATATATATATATATATATATATATATATATAACGAACAAGTTACATATGTAAGAGATAGATAAATTTGAAAATGTTAAGTCTTGTCTTACTTCATGTTATTATTTTCGTGAATTAATCGATTGAATGATTCAGTGTTTATCAACACAATTCTTACCCTGAACATTTCAGCAAGGAAATTACAAAATATAACCCAGATATTCACTCATGAGATTGAAGCAATAACGTATATAGGTATAATACTCCTGCTGCAATTATAAATGAGTGGGAGGATGAATCGTGTCTTCCATTGTTAATCTCTTGTGTGTTTATTTTTATTTTTCAGACTGACCGCAGAGGACTGAATGTTTGCTCCTTACTTCATCACGGCCTTTTTTTACCGGCGCCATATTTACAGCTGACCGGCATAACCAATAAAAAACAGAAATAAAGAAATCAATTGCCCAGTGTTCGAAGTGATTAAAAACAAAATTACAGTGCACAGAAAAAGGTTCATATATATATATATATATATATATATATATATATATATATATATATATATAATGTTTTTGACTTTAGGTAGAAAATTATCCGATCTTTTGCATTGATCTTTTGACTGTTCCTAAATCTTTCTACAATTTGAATTACCTAGTAATGGGTAAATAAAAATGTCAACATAGCTATTTATGAATTAGGCAGACTAACGCCGAACAAGGAGGGTAGCGACCACTGTCTCTACACGTATATATGCCTACAAACAATAAAAATCAAAGAACTACTCCAGAGAACGTGAAGCTAAAAGTCGACACGGTTCATTAAAAAAAGAAAGAACAAAAAACAATACCAAGTGTTTACATTAAAGACTGCACTGTACGATTTATCAATGCATTAAAAGTCGAGTCAAATTGTTTATAACCAATATATAATAGATGTAATGCATTAAAAACGCTTTAAGATATTAAATTTAATTTAGGCCAAGCGCAAGTGGAATATCTAAGATATCGTTTGAACGAATGGATAAACATATTTGAAGATTAAACGAAGATGAAACAATTAAAAACCTTAGAAATTAATTCCAGTTGAGCGAACTGATGCGATTTAGAAAAAAAATCAAAACTTCAAAAAATATGGAAATAACTAAATCGATTTTGTTTTCTTACAGTGTCGTTTTACATCACTGAATATTTAAAAAGTCAAATTATTATTTTTTTTTAAGTAAATGCAATCATATAAGTATCTAATGAATTTTTCAGTGTAGAACGGTGTGCTTGTAAGAAGAGAAAGCTAACAGACAGATAGATAGATAGATAGATAGATAGATGAATAGATAGATAGATAGATTGGTACTATATAATCATTTTGTCTTAGCAGCAAAAGTTAACTTATATATATATATATATATATATATATATATATATATAGAGAGAGAGAGAGAGAGAGAGAGAGAGAGAGAGATAGACTGAGATTAGACATAGATCATAAATAGATAGATGGACTGAGATTAGATAGATAGATAGATAGATAGATAGATAGATAGATAGACTGAGATTAGACAGATAAATAGATAAACTGAGATTAGACATAGATAGATAGATAGATAGATAGACTGATTAGATTAGACATTAGATATAGAGACTGAGATTAGACATAGATAGATAGATAGATATGAGATTCGACATAGATAGATAGATAGATAGATTAGACATATAGATATAGATAGATAGATAGATAGATAGATAGACTGAGATTAGACATAGATAGACTGAGATTAGACATAGATAGATAGATAGATAGATAGATAGATAGATAGATAGATAGACTGAGATTAGACATAGATA